CCCGCAACCCTAAACCCCCTAAACCCTCTAAACCCTAAACCCTAAACCCCAAACCCTAAACCCTGAACCCTAAACTTCAAAGTCCCGTCTCGGCCTGAAGCCAACTGCACTCCGCCGAGCCCTCGGGGCCCAGAGCGATGGGCAAAACTCCAGAAGTCGGATAGTCCAACCTGGTGGGCGGGTTCGAGGTTTAGGGTTTAGGGTTTAGGGGTTAGGGTTTAGGGTTTAGGGGTTTAGGGTTTAGGGTTTAGGGTTCAGGGTTTAGGGTTCAGGGTTTAGGTTGTTAACGCTCCTTCTTATTTAACCCGCCACCAGTCAAGCAGATAAGACCCCGGTGGGGTTTGGGGTCCAGGGCTTTACGTTCAGAGTTTAGTTGTTTGGGCTCAGGATTTGGGGTTTAGGGTTTAGGGTTTAGGGTTTAGGGTTTAGGGTTTAGGGTTTAGGGTTTAGGGCTTCCGTAAAGGGTTTCTGTCACGGTTTCTGCAAGGTAAGGGGCTGCACAGGCGCACGCATGCCTTGTGACAGTTGCAGCTGTGACCAACTGCGTCTACACGGACGCCCTCATGCTGTTCTGTCTAATGCGCACAAGTATAGCACAGGACAGGACTAGCGATATAATCCTGAAATATGTAGACGATGTCGGCATTGAGACAGTAGGACCGCGCCTGTTCTCGATATCCCGCCCCCACCAAACCGCAGGCAACTAGCACATTCCAGAACCCGGTTTGAAGTGGCACAGCACAAGCCCAACCAGCACCGACACAAGCCCTCTGTGATACCATGGTTACTTTGACCAATCCAGTATTCGAGTGCTTCGTACAGCTCATAAACATGAAACCCTGAACGGCCGAAAACGCTTAGCCCTCTTTCTGTGGTTTGACGAATGCGGTAATGCGAAAGCCGAAATAGTTATTTCCTCCTGTTCCCTGGAATATATAGACTACAAAATATACCCGGAGCCTTCATTATTCTACTTGTCAAAGACCCAAGATCCTACACCCGAAGCCCAAAGCCTTGAACCCAAAACCCTACACCCTAAACCCTGTACCCTAAACCCTAAACCCTAAACCCTAAAACCTAAACCCTAAACCCTCTTGCACAGGAAGCATGCCTCGACACCGTTTGCACCACGGTGGGCCAGCGACTGCCGAAGAGCTTCTCCAGAAGGTCCTCTGGGGTTTTCGGGCTTTAGGGTTTAGAGTTTAGGGTTTAGGGTTTAGGGTTTAGGGTTTTCGGGCTTTGGGATTCTTAAGCGTTGGGAATACAAGGGTTAAGGGCTTTAGGGTTTGTTTTTGGCTTTAGGGCTTTAGATTTTCGTCGATTTACGGGACAGGGAGTGAGAGTTGCGTGGGCTGCTCCTGCTATCTCTATTAATTAGAATAAGGCTCTGCTCTATAGTACAATTATGCAGGGACTAGAGGGGAACAGTATGACCCTAAACCCTACACCCTGTTTCTTCAAGTCCCTGACACCTCGGATTTTTGCAGTTTGCCATGTGCTCTCGGTAAAGCGCTCGGGCCGGGGGTTTCATGGGTTTGCGGTTTGGGGCTTAGGGTTTTGGGTTTAGGGTTTAGGGTTTGCGGTTTGGGGCTTGGGGTTTTGAGTTTGGGATTTAGGGTTTGAGGCTTAGGGTTTGGGGTTTGACGTTTGGGGCTTAGGGTTGAGGGTTTAGGGTTTGAGGTTTGGGGCTTAGGGGTTTGGGTTTGGGATCTATGGCTCACGGCTTACAGGGCCTACAAGCTCATAGGTCTTACAGGGTTTATAAGTGCAGGGCTTTTGCGGTTCACAGGGCTTACAAGGCTTATGGGGTCTACAGGGCTTATACGGTTCAGGGTTGAGGGCTCAAGGTTTTGACAGAACTGAGCCTAGGATCCAAGCAACCTGATGACCAGAATCCTAGACAAGTCTTGATAGCCATACTCAGTGAGAAAGCCTAGCGGATAAGAACGACGCAATAACAACGACCATAGCAGAAGCAACAACGAAACAAGTTGAAGAAAAACAAGAACAAATTGAGAACAAGAAGAGTGTGCCTAAACCCCTAAACCCTAAACCCTAAACCCTAACTCTAAACCCTAACTCTAAATCCGAACCCCTAAACTCTAAACCCTAAGCCCTAACCCCTAAACCCTAAACCCTAAAACCCTAAACCCCTAAACCCTAGACCCCTAAACCCAAAAAAAGACCTAAACCCTAAACCCTAAACCCCTAAACTCTAAAAACCCTAAACCCTAAACCCTAAAAACCCTAAAACCCCTAAACCCTAAAAACGCATGTCCGGCTCCCGCCCCCGGCCTCGGTGCTCAGTCCCTCCCGCTTCGAAACCACGAGGACCCCAGGGCGCTTCGCGAGCACTGGGATGCCTTTGGAGAGACTGAGTTAAGGGCTGGGCTTTAGGGGTGTAAAGCGTTAAGGGTCTTAAAGGCTTAAGGTTTAGGGTTTAGGGTTTAGGGTTTAGGGTGTTCAGTTAAGTGCTGGGCTTTAGGGGTTGAAAGGGTTGAGGGTTTACTAGGGTTTAGGGGTTTAAGGTTTGGGGATTAGTAGGGTTTAGGGTTTAGGGGTTTAATAGGGTTGATGGTTTACTAGGGTTTGGGAGTTTAAGGTTTAGGGGTGAGGGTTTAGGGGTTTAAAGGGCTTAGGGTTTTGTAGGGTTTAGGCGTTTAAGGTTTTAGGGTTTAAGGGTTTCGGGTGTAGGGGTGTAGGGTTTAACAGGGTTTGATAGGGTTTGATAGGGTTTAATAGGGTTTAATAGGGTTTAATAGGGTTTAATAGGGTTTAATAGGGTTTAGTAGGGTTTAATAGGGTTTAATAGGGTTTAATAGGGTTTAGTAGGGTTTAGGGTTTCAGGGTTAGCGTGTAGGGTTTAGGGGTTTAGGGTTTAGGGGTTTAGGGGGGAGAGACCGCCATTTTCTGCAGAGGAGCCTGAAGGATTACAGTTGAGCTTTGGGGATATGGTTTAGTATGGTAGACCTACTGTATATAGAGAAACCCCATAACCTAGTAATGTAGGAACCTGATTAAGAAACCCTGGCCCTATAACCCCAATATATTAGGATTCACACTAAGAACCCCAAATAAAGGCCCAGGGTTTCTTAATCAGGTACCTACATTATTACAAAGTCTTCCGACCTCTCTATTACCTTCTCTGGCTGATGGCGAGGTGGGGTGCTTTGGGGTGTTCAGCTCTCGGACCAAGTTTGCCACGGACGAAGGAAGAGCTCTGGTGACCCAAAGCTTCTCCACCAGAGACCCAAAATCCCAAAATCACACATCTTTAGGGTTAACTTAGGGTTTGGGGTTGACAATTTAGGGTTAATTTAGGGTTTAGGGTTTACAATTTTACAATTTACGGTTAATTTATGGTTTAGGGTTCACAATTAAGGGTGAATTTAGGGTATCGGATTTAGGGTTCCTCTGAAGCTGGCGGCGTCTTCCTTACGTCTACCACAAGCAGTATCTCCCTCGCGCGCGGGACCATGGAATCCTGGACCTTGTCCCTGAACCCCAAAGGCCCTCATTGCCAAAAGCCGTAACGCCCGCAAGCCCTTCAACCCTAAGCCCCCAAATCCCGAACAAAAGCTTTGAAACCCAACAGCCGCAAAACCCGAAGCCCAAATTTTGGCGCTACTCCATTGCGTTTTTGAACCGTTATAGATCAGGGTAGAACCCTGTAGCACCGTGAAGCGAACCTTTTCGGGGAACCTTTAAAACACCCTATAACCCCCGCACCTCCGCCGAAGTTCTTGGGCTCCGCATTCTGTGGGCCCCAGCGCTTCCGTAGCTGCTGGAGAACCCCCAGGGCTGCGTCCTGCTTGGGGTTTTAGGGCTCAAGGCTTTGGGCTTAGGGTTTGGAGCTTATGGTGCAGCTGTAACGGTTTAGTTCTTCGGGTTTAAGGATTTGCGTTCTGGGCTTGGGGTTTCTGTGTCTACTGTTTCCGGGTCTTACTGGGGTAGCGATTTTAACATAATTTTACGGATTTCAAGGTTCAGAGCAGGCGCTTTGGATGCAAATGTAGATACAAGGCTTGATGGTGGGAGCGGCTTAGGGTTGCAAGTTGAGAATTTAGGCTTTGGGTTAGCAGCTGTGTGGCTGGGGCTTCAGCGTTGAAGGATCGAATTTAGGGGTTCCGCCTAAAAAACCCGTTATGATGGATCAAAGCCTTGAGCTCCTCCAATAAAAAACCAAATCCTTTTTCGCAACATTCTTGAATTCTTGAAATCGGCTTCCAACACCATGTCTTGGCCTTCAGAACCAGGTCAGAAGCAGGTCGCCCAGAACCCCTGAAAGACTAAACCCTTAACCCTAAAGCCTATTCCAAAACCTTGGACTCCCGAATCCTCAAAAAACCACGTCAGTGGCTGTGTCCATAACCCAGTCTGCTACTTTGACTTCAGAACCAAACTCTCAACACGGTTTCAAGAATTTTGCGCCAGGGTCAAACTTCCAAAACTACGTCGGCTTGGTGCACCTTGGCACCAAGGCACCACAACACACCGTTGCTACTCGCATTTGGGACCAGCTGCTGCTTCTAGGAACCAATCCACGAAACACATACGTCCCATTTTCGAATTTTCAACAGAAACAAGGAAAGTTTCCAAACACGATGGATCATAGGCAGACATGCTTGGACGACAAGACCCATTCGGCCCTTCCCACCAAAAAACAAAAAGATTCGCGCAATCATGCAGTGCTAAATTCATGCAAAGGATCAAGAGCTTGAGATCCTGCAAGGCAATATATCCACAAGCTGGAAGTCGTGCACCACACGAATGTATTATGCTATTTCCGTGCTGGCTGCAATGAGAGCTCACACAAAGTCGAAGCAAGCAAAAAGTGTTCAGCACTTGCACTGGAACTGTCGACAACCTTTTCCCTTCGAACAAGCTCAACGTCACAATCATCAACCACGCCTTTTCAGCGGAAACGCACGTGAATGTTCTAGTAGTTCAAGTCGCTGACTCTTCTTCCGTCGAATGAGACAAGTTCGTCCATATTGTCACCGTCAGAGTCTTGTTCATTGTGAGATTGTGGACGTCCACGTCAGAAAGAAGCATCGCTACGGGTGTAAGGGAATTTTCTGCTACAGCAGGAGATTGCTTGCAAAAGGCTTCAGGCTTGCCCATGTCACAAAGCCTACCGCTGCACGTTCCACTTGCATTTCTCGTCTGTACAAACGGGGACTCATACAAAGACTAGAAAACTTGAATGTGTTCATGAAGCTGTGACTCCATTACTGTGTTTTCTTGCCGACCTCTTCGCGATGAAGTCGTCTAACGTCTAGGTGCCTCCGCTTCTGATCTCATGCACCCATCGTCGGCCATCCCAGATCTTCTGCTTGAACGTACGTGTACATTCAAGATGCGGGGGTTGTGCGTGAGATTGCTATGTGCAAATTTGAAGTGAGCGAAGGAAGGACCTCGCAAGGTTCCACTGTACACTGTCGGCAAAGGCTCTCAGAGTCCAGCTTCTTGTATGCCTTGGCGCTGTCCGGGTGACAAACACTCCCACGAGCGAATCGGCCGAGATCCTTGGAATTGACCATGGTATCTTTGAGCTCCTGGAAACTTAAAATTCAAACTCCGCCTTGTCCGGAAGCCGTCACCTTGCCGGGAGCTTGCCCAAAAGATTGCCGCGTTTCCTCGGCAGACAAAAGCGACGTACTGGAACCACAGAACCTGTACGCTGAATGGGAAATTCATGAATCTTGCCTGAACATAACCAAAACCCAAGCAAATCCAAGTAGCCGCACTAAATTATGGCAAAAATACTTGTTATCCAGTCTTTTGTTTCGGAAGCTGACCTCGTCCAATTTTACATCATTGGCACAAAACTATGAGCTTTTCGTTAAGTGTGTCACCAATGGAAGTCAACCACTTGCGGAAGTTGTAAAAAGATCTCGAACTGTTCGGTGTTCTACACCAAGAATCAGACCAGCCTGACCGAACCGACATTGATGGGCGACAAGACAAGCTACAGGGCACCTACCAAAGAACGAAGAGCAACAAGCTTATTGTTGAAGAGATCCAAGTCGTCCACATGAACAGTTTGTAACATTCGCAATACGTGGACGTGCTTTGTATGATGCATGGTCCTTCTTGCTATCGATTCTCCGACTGGTCTTCTCGCACTCGTCCACAAGGAAGATCAAGACAAAGTGGCTGGCGACCTCGTTTCCGGTCTGTACTTGTAATACGAGGGCGAGGGTCTCTGTACGGCCGACAGGGCTAGGAAGATCTGGATACCACATCTTGTTGCTGCAAAGCACTTGGGGTACGCTTTCTTGGAGCCATACGAGTCTTCATCTCTCGCTCCAAGTTGACTGTTTTTTTTGTTCGACTTTTTGGCTGAAATATCATATCGAGCCCATCTGTCTCTTCCTGCTTCCCTGCTTCCTGCAACACCCACGCTGATCTGTTCAGCTGCTTTACAGAATCTTGACAGCAGCGAGGCTTGCTGCAATGAGTGGGCAAACATGCAAAGCTGCAAAATGGCCGCAAACATGTTGAGATCATTCCAGAGTTCTTTCAACAGGCAGTGTTCATGCGCAGGGTCTGTTCGCTTCAAGGGTGTCCTCTCCACGCTGCAGCTTTGCAAAGCCGTGTCAAAAAGCTTGACAAATCAATCTACATGTCTGCATTGCACTTTGATGCAAGCTTTTCGTGCGGTCGTTCAAACTTGACGTATTTTGAATGTTTTGCAACAATTCGCTTTGTTGTTTGTTGCATGTTCGCTAAGTTTTAAGTCTTCAACTTGTACGATTGCGGTCTTTTTTGGTATCATCCAAAACCCTACTGCAGCGCCTACCACCCTTGGTCGGAGCTGCGGGTCCCCAGCGCTGCGCAGTCCCAGGCAATCTTGGAGCAATAGGTCGAAAGCACGAAATCGATTCTTGCCGAACCTTAACAATGCAACATCTGAGTCTTGGCTGGGAGAGTAAACCGCGAAACAACTACGAAGTCTCAATGGAAAGAACATCACACGGTAATTCGAACCGTTCGTGCGCAGATTGTGGTGCGTTGAGTCTGAGTTGCAGCTCTTTGGATTGCTTGTGGTCGAAAGAGTCGGCACACCAAGAGCCAGCAGATGCGATCGTGCAAATCGTTTTCCTTAAATGCGCCAAGTCTCCCTCTGCAGTCCTTCGGATCGTTCTTCTGAAATGTGGGATACTTTTGGTGACCAACAGGCTTTGTTTCAGAAATTTTGGTCTTTTTCAGATCTGCAGTGTTGCGTCCTCCGACAGTACATCAACTCGGAGTGGCACAGATATGATTGAAAGTGTCGCACTTGGGATGGCTGGCTGGATGACATGCTTTGAGCAGGTCTCCATCCGGAGTGGTTGAGTCAGGCACTCTAGATGCCAACCGTTTTGAACCATTGTAAGAACTCTCTAAAGCCCTTGTGAAGCTTAAGCAACATAGGAGTCAGGAGCCTCAACAACTAGTTTAGTAGTACATCTATTACTTTATAATGCCCCTCAACTCTGACTAGCGAGCCCCAATTACTACACCCGCCAACCCGTACTAAGTCGAGAAACCCAAATTCGCGACCCGGGTCCTCGCCCTTGGCACTGCGAAGCGCTCCAGCCACTGCCCCAACGCAGGTTCCATCAGGCACGAGCTGCTGAGACAACGCCGATGACAAGACCTCCAAAGTTATAGGTGCTTACAGGATTTAAGGTTCAAGGACCGGTGCTTGTGCTATTTTGAACGGTTGTACAGGCTTTTCGTCAGCATGTGATAGGGCTTTTCTGTGAGTTACCAGCGCAAGGATTCGACCCAAAGTGTATGCTTGAACTGTTCTGTCTGCTAACGTAGATTCAGTGCCTTCACAAGACATGGGTCCAACATGTTGTTCTCTCCTTGCCTCCGGATATACGATATTGAGTAAGATTCATACATCTCCACCAAGAACCCTTTGCCCTCAATCCGATCCTCCTAAGAACCCCTAAAGAAATCAATCCTACACACCCCAAAAACCCTTTTCCTTTAGAACCCTAAAGGGAATCCTACATGTAGGGTTTGGGGTCCGGAAAATTAGAATAGGGGTTCCTTTAAAGGCTTCCTTATAAAAGCTTCCTATAAGGGGCTCCTTTACAGGGCTCCTTCGAAGTTTCCTATTAAGGGTCCGAAAACAAGTTTCATATTGGAGGGCCTGAAAGAATCAGAAGAGGGTTTAGGGGGTATATTATGATGGAAGCGTCATCAAGAAACCAAAGGAATAACAGTCGTACTTGTTCAGGCTTCTAGAGTACCAATGCTGCTGAGGGTTTAAGACTCCATGTAGACCCCTGAGGAATAAACCCCTTTGATAAACGGCCTTCATATTAGGATCCCTATCCCTAAACCCTAAACCCTAAACCCTAAGGGCTCAACATCTTGGGGATGCTGATTGAGCCCTAAACCCTAAACCCCTAAACCCTAAACCCTGAACCCTAAACCCTTCCACAAGGTAAGCTCTGAAGCCCCAAAGCCCTGAACCCCTGAAACCGGGTTTAGGGTTTAGGGTTTTTAGGTTGTAGGGTTTAGGGCTTAGGGTGTTTAGGGTTTAGGGTTTAGGGTTTAGGCCCAAAGACCAGCAAAGCGGAGGACCTCCAGTGCTTGCTGCCACTGCGAGGACTTCTCGCAGGCGCCCGCGGCCTCTGTGTAGCTGGACCTCAGACCCAGATACTTCTCTATGGTTTAGGGTTTTAGGGTTTAGGTTTTAGGGTTTAGGTTTTAGGGTTTAGGGTGTAGGGTTTAGGGTTTAGGGTTGGTTTGATCCACGACTGCCCCCAAACCCCTCAACCCTAAATGTGAAACTAGAAGGGGCCGAAGGGGCTCTACGTAGACTACTGGCACTACTTGCCCTCCCGGCCTCGACGGCATCGGCCGCTTGTCTCTGCTCGATGCAAAATGCCTTCACGACATGTGCTTCTGGGATCTACCTTGCTCGGCTAACAGAGACCAGCGTAATCATCACACTCGAAAGGATAAAGACCATCAGCAGTACGAACACTCGATCTATCAAGCTTCACACTGGTTCTCTGTGTAGTCTGTCTGTTACAGACCAAGCCGTCCCCTTGTCCGACCGATATCGGTAGGAGAATCTTTCCTTCTATCATGTCCCACCACTCAGCGGGATTCTGAGGCTTCGTGAGGACGTCTGCCCTTTGGGCCGTTCCCGGGACCCATCCTATAGGTAGCCCCTGTCCCCAGACTTCGGAGCGCAGGCTCTGCCTCAAGGCAGCTAGATCAACAGCAAGGCGTTTGTCAGAAGGTACCCGTGGGATGCCCTGCTTGTTGAGGTGGTCGTAGAGAGAGCGGCAGTCGCTGAGGCATAGGAGTGGTATCTTTGCCTCCTCGACTGTCACGAGCCGCCCCATCACCATTGACTCGTACATGGACCGGATGTACTGTCCGGTCTCCAGGCCCTCTGCGCAGGCCTGGGTCTCCGCTCCAAGCGTGCTGCGGCAAACTCGTTGCCCTGCTTGGGACCGCCAATCGGCGATGCTGTAGCTTCCGGCCTCTCCGGAAAGGGTGATGCGGTCCACGAACGTCACTAGCACCCCGAGCTGGGACGCCACCTTGGAGTTGCCCTTCTTAGCCTTCCTGTTGGCTCCGTTGCCGGCGTAGGGACCTTCACGCTGGAGTCCGGCTAAGTTGCCCTCGTTCGTCAGGATGTGGTAGTCCTCATCGGGGTCCGGTTCTGGCACATTTGCCCCGGCCGCGTCGTGATAGACCACAATCATCAATCTCTCCGGAGGGATGGCCTTGAACTTGAGTCCTCGGTCTTTGAAGTGGAGGGCCTTGTGAGCGGTCTGGTTGGTGAATCTGATGTCGGCGTGCGTAGGGCACTTCTGAAGTTGCTGCGCCATACTGACGGCGCACGTAAGGTCGGGGCGGCTGGTAGACGACATCCACGAGAGAGCCCCTATCAAGCTGCGGTTGTCACTGATCAGCTCCGCCGAAGCGTAGTCCTCATCTTTGGCGTCGCCTGGTAGCTCGAGCTGGAACAAGCGCGTGCTGGCGTACTTCTCTTGCGACAGCTCCACTCCGTCCTCGGTGACTCTCATCCTTGACCCGAGAAACTCGAACTCGTCTTCTTCCCATTCGTCGATTGGGAAAGCCGCAGAGAAGGCCTGCTGGATGGTCTTCTGTAGGGATCGGGGTGCTCCGATCAAGATATCGTCCACGTGGCAGCCGACGTAGGCCAGCGGCTCTCCATGGAAAGCTCCTGCTTCCCATCTTCGTAGGACGAACACGCACGGGTCGAGCGCGCACTGCTCGAACCGGTAGTGAGCTTCGCGTCCTTGCCAAGGAAGCGGGATGTCAATATCACTGATCCCACCGCGCAAGTCATTCCACCACTCATGAGGACTCGTTGCCAGCCCGAAGACATTCTTCTTGATCTTCACCAATTGGCCCGGTCCCATGCCGGGAAAACCGGTCCTGGGCTGATGCATGTAGAGCTCCCTGGCCAAGTAGCTTCCCGTCAAAAAGGCGCACCGGATATCTCCTGCTGAAATTGTCCAGGGGTCCGGTAGTCCTCGTCCATTGGCGACGATCTGGAGCACGCAAGAAAACCCGCTCCTTGACAAAGTCGGGGCGTCCGTCGTGAGGTGCTCGGTCCCCAAGTCGGGGTCGGTATGACCCACGATAACCAATCGAGACTTACAGCGCCAGGGCACGTCTTCGCCCTCGCGCCTCCTGGCATAGTTTTTTGTCCTTGTATGCCCAGCGGCATCTGAGCACCCTTTCTGGAGGGACCGAGTCTCGAATGGCGTTGCTCTCGTCCAGCGATAGCGGTTCCAAAGCGTCGTAGCTCAAGTGCTCAAGCCACTGTGTCTTTTCCGCCTCGCGGAACTTGTGGTGCACCTCCTCCGGTATTTCGCTCCACTTAAGCTCCTTCTCCTTGCGCTTCTCGACACCGCGGCGTGTCAAGTCGCTCCTGGGCATCATCGCCTCGTTCTCGGCAATGCCCTCGGCCTGAGGGGCTGTCTTCCGCTTCAACCGGCGATAGGGCGCCGGCAAGATCTTCTCCGCAATCTCGTCGACGGGGTTCAGCATCACGTCCTCGCGGGCGTCGCCCGGCTCCGACGGGGAGTAGTCGCCGTCGTCCAGCTCCATGTCCTGGGCCTCGTCAAAGATCTCCGGGTCGTCCGGATCGAACTCGAGCAGCTTCCTTTCATAGAAAGCAGCTCGCCGACCTTTTGAGGAGTCGTGGGTCTCATGTGGTGCGGGGATGTAAGTCGGCACCTTCCCGACTTCGACAACCAATAGTTTCCTCCTTCCTTTCCGACAATAACTGCCGGTTGGGCTGGGCTGGGCTGGGCTGGGCTGGGCTGGGCTGGGCTGGGCTGGGCTGGGCTGGGCTGGGCTGGGCTGGGCTGGGCTGGGCTGGGGCGGGGGGCTGGGCTGGGCTGGGTTGGGCTGGGCTGGGCT